CACGGGGAGCCGCTGCGGCTCTACTGCGTGCAGGACCGGCGCGCCGTGTGCGTCGTGTGCCACCTGTCCCGCGAGCACCGCACGCACACCGTGCTGCCCGCCGAGGAGGCCGCGCACGCTGCCGAGGTGAAGTGGGGTGGCTTTGGGGGCCCTTCTGTGCCTGGGAACCCTCCCCTTCGGGTGGCTTTGGGGGGTGGGGAGCTCCTTTCTGAAGCTTTTAGGGACCCCCCTGTTTGGGGAGTCCCCCGAGTGTCTTTTGGGGCCTCTCCTGCCTCCTTCTCCTGGGTGGCCTTAGGGATCCTCCTCCAAGGGGTTGGGGAGACCCTATGAGTGGCTTTGGGGAACTCTGCTGGGTTCCTTTATTGATCCCCATGGGGCTGGGGACCCCTCTGTGTGGCTTTAGGGACCCCCTGGGTGACTGGAAACCCGTGGGTGGCTTTAGGGATCCCCCTCAGGTGGCTTTTAGGGACCCCCCCGGATGGATTGGGGAGCTCCCCTTTGTGGCCTTGAGTGGCCTCTCCCAGGGGTGACTTTAGGGAGCCCCTGGGGGGGGCTTTGGGGACTTCAAGGGGACTGGGAAGCTCCCCGCCCCCATCTCGGCTTTTAGGGATTTCCCATTTGGCCTTTGGGGACTCCAAGTGGCTCTGGGGACCCCCCCAGGGGTGGCTTTGGGCCCCCTTGGTGGCTTTATTACTAGTAAAGTTCTTGAGGCTTTGTATTTTATGGTCCCTTTTGCAGTTCCTCACCCCAGCTTAGATTAACAGTGGCTGCAAAAAGAAGATTTTTTGACAAAATTCAGCTGCTGGAATCTCTCACAACCTCTTTTCTCTGAATTCCCAAATAAGAAGGATCGCTAATATCCTTTTTCTTTCTCCCTTTTTTTTTTTTTTTTTTCCTCCTTCAGGAGGTGCCCCAGGAGCATTTGAGCTCCCTAAGGAAAAGCCGTGAGGAAGCCAAGGCCGAGCGGGAGAGGCAGAGCGAGGAGCTGCTGGTGAGTCCCTTGGAGCAGGTATTTTCCAGCCTCCATCCCTGCCATGAAACATAATTCCCAGTGCCCTGAGCTGGAAAATCAGGATATAGGAATGCTGGAATTTTCTCCTGTGGCTTTTGCAGAAGCAAACTGAGGTGGAGAGGCAGAAGATTGTGGCCGAGTGCAAAGAGCTCCGGAGTTTCCTGGAGGAGAAGGAGCAATTCCTGTTGTCCCGCCTGGAAGAGCTCGACAAGGGTATTGTCAAGCGGAGAGATGAGAGCGTATCCCGCCTTTCCGAAGAGATTTCCCAGCTTGATAAGCTGCTGGGAGAGCGGGGAGGAGAAAACGGCCCCGGAAACCAGTCCGGGCAGGTGAGACTTGGAGCAGAATGTCTGGGATGTGTCTCCCTGCTCCAGATGTTGTAGGGTGCAAAATCCAGGATTCTTGGGCCTGGAATTCCTAGAAGGGCAAAAACTCCTTATAGAGGTTACTGGGTGCTGGAGAGCAGCTCGGATCTGGGGGGCTTTAATCCCATTTTGGAGTTAACTCCATTTTCCATAACAACTCCAGCTGTTCCATTCACTTGGGTCGTTGTCACGGGGCTTTGCTGCTCTGTTTGGGCTTAAAACCCCAAATTCACCTGTCTGCAGCGACAAAAATGAGTTTTTCTAGTAATGATGCTGCTTGGACCCCTCCAAGAAACACAAAAACCACCAAAAATTTCACTTCACTCCTCACTTCTTCCTTGCTGTGAGCCTGGAATTGTCATGGCTTTAAGTGCTTAACGGCAAACATGATTTTTCATATTTTATTTTATACTTCTTTAAATTATTTTACTAAATTACTTTCTTTTTCCCTCTTTCTAGGGTGTTGCCACTGCTGGAAGTGGGTGAGTGAGCGGAGACTTTAGTGGGTTAACTGGGAGAACTGGTGTCAAGGTCCCATTCATCTTAATTGCTTATTTTGGGATTCCTATGCACATATGGGCCTTAATTTAACGCAAAATTAGGATTTTCTCAACAGGAAAACAAAACCGGGCAGTTACGGGAGGGTTTCTAGGGAAAAAAAAAATCACTTTATCAAATGCTAAATAGGACAGAACTGGATGATTTTCCCACTTGGAGAGCCCCAAAATGGATTAAGGGGAACAACCAAACCCCTTTGGTTGCCAACAGGCTCCTTCTCTACTTGTAGTTTTAAAGATTTTGATTTTTCTGTGTGGAGTTCCCCAATTCCTGTCTCTCCCCCTCTTCTCCCAGCTTTGAGAGCTGGATGTTCTGCAAACCGGAGCCCGGATTCACGGAGCTGGAGAAGAAACTCAAGAGCTTTTCCCAGAAAAGTGCCGTGCTGAAGGAAGTCCTGCTGGAGTTCAAGGGTGAGTGGGAATACCCTTAGGAAAAACAGGAAAAGACATTCCCTGTTTTTCCATGTGCTGATGTCTCTCATAGCCCTGGAGGGAGGGATGTAGGTACTATTTGGGAATATTTTCCATGGATAAAGGGTCTAAAATTTCCTTTTTTTTTTTTTTTTCCCCCCACAGAGAATCTCCGGTTTGAATTGGAGAACGACACGGGTAAGCGCCACGCAGCGGAGTGGGACCTTGGGAATTTGCCCTTCTTTTTTCCAACCCTTTCCTAAGGGTTTTCCAACCCTCCTCATAGCAAAAAGGGGAAAACTCAGAGTTAAAGGAAGGGCAAAGAACTGATCCCGCTGTCAGAGAGCCCTTAAGGGACAATCTCGGAGCGTGGTGACAAACTGCAGGGTTTGCCTGGAGTGCCTGGACCATATCCTGGATTTCCATGTCCTGGAGCACAAGGAGAATCCAGCTTAGGGCTGGACTTTGCATCCTTTCTATTTTCTGGAGGCAATTCAGGGATCTCACTGCTGTCTCTCTACTCCAATTCCTTTCCATTGGATAGGGAAGGGACACGCAAACCCTGTCTTATTTTTGGACACATTCCCACTTCGTATCCCTAATTTCTGACCACGGTGGATACAAACATCCCTTTAAACACAAGGATAATTCCACTAATTCCTTCCTGGCAATTCCCAACAACTAAAAATGATAATTCCAGCTAAAATTGCTGGGATTAGATGGTGCTATGACAACTAACCTTGCATGGGATGGATTCCATTGGGAATTCCAAATTCCCAAGGTTCTGAGTGGAAATCAGCTATTTTGCCCCATTTCTCAGATAATTTTCAAGGAAAAGCCCCCCCTTGGCTCCCAATTCAGTGTACTCGGAGCCACCAAGGGCAAATTTGTCCCCAAAAGGGACACGGGATACGTGATGGTGGCCGACACCGCATGGATATTCCTGGTTTTCCCCCCCATCCAGGTGACCTCTCTCTGGATCCGGACACAGCCAACCCCTACTTGGTGCTGTCGGAGGACAAGCGGAGCGTGCGGCTCCGGAGCGCCCCGCAGGAGCTCCCGGCGCATCCCAAACGCTTCGACTTTTCCTTCTGCGTCCTGGCGGCCGAGGGCTTCCTGGCCGGGAGACACTACTGGGAGGTGGAGGTGGGTGACGGGGACAGCTGGGTGCTGGGGGCGGCGCGCGAGTCCGTGCGCCGCAAGGAGAAGATCGACTTCGCTCCGGAGGAAGGGATCTGGGCGGTGGGGCTCAACTGGAAGGGCAAAAACTGGGATCAGTACCAGGCGTTCACGTCGCCGGAGACGCCGCTCTCCCTGTGCGAGAGGCCCCGGAAAATCGGGATCTACCTGGACTACGAGGGCGGCTGGGTGGCGTTTTACAACGCGGACACCATGGCCCCCATCTTCACCTTCACGGCCGCCTTCTCCGAGAGGATTTTCCCCTTCTTCTGGCTCTTCTACGTGGGCTCCTCGCTCTCCCTGTGCAATGAGCAGCACCCCCCC